AACTCAGGAGTTCAAGACTAGCCTGGCCAACACAGTGAAACCCTGTCTCTAAAACAAACAAACAAAAAAAAAACCTCCACAATAAATGATTACTTTGCTTGTGCAGCATCTATTTCCTAGGCAACCTCTATTAAGTTTGGCCTTCTCATTTGTCCCCCAGACTCTGCCTCTGCATAGTGTCCCATCCAACAGAATCATGTAACTGACCCTAAAGAGCTTTGAAATGTTAAACAACTCATCACACATCCTAAACATTCCTTTTAGGTACTGAATTAGGTTGTTAGGGCCGTCCTAACAAAATACGACAAACTGAGTGGCTGAAACAATTGAAATTTATTGCCTCACACTTTTGGACGTTAAAAGTCTGCGTTCAAGGCATCAGCCAGGTCATGTTTCCTTTGAAAGTATTGGAGAAGGATGTATTCTAAGCCTCTCTCCTAGCTTTTGGTAGTTCCTTGGCTTGTGATTGCATAACTCCATTCTTCACATGCATGCATATCTGTGTCAAAGATTCCCCTTTTTATAAGGACACAGTCCTATTGGATTAGGGGTCCACCATACTCCAGTATGACCTCACCTCAACTAATTATACCAGTAATGACACTATTTCAAAATAAGATCACATTCTGAGGCATGGTGGGTAAGGACTTCAACATATGAATTCTGGGGGGACAAAATTCAACCCATAACAGACACTACTTTTTCTTTCCAAATTTCTACAGCATGTGGCAGCTGTCCAACCTTTCTTGCCCCTTCCCCTCAACACCCCCCATAAATGTGGCTAAACTGTCCTAAGCCATCTCTTGCCTCTACTTATTTTCACCTTATTTGCTGGTAGTGGCTTTCATTTACCACTATATTCCAGATACTTTATGTGTGTGATTCTAAACCTCATTTATATTAACATTATATCTACTTTTTTATTAGAGATGGGGTCTTGCTATGTTGCCCAGGCTGGTCTCAAATTCCTGGGCTCAAGGCATATATCCATTTCTTAGTTGAGAAAAAAGGCTTAGGAAGTTAATTAATGCACAAAATGCTAAGCAGGTTGGGCATCATGGCTCACGCCTGTAATTGAAAACTTTGGGAGGCCGAGGTGGGTGGATCACTTGAGGTCAGGAGTTCAAGGTCAGCCTGGCCAACATGGCAAAACCCTGTCTCTACTAAAAATATAAAAAAATAGCCGATGTAGTGGCACACACTTGTAATCCCAGTTAATTGAAAGGCTGAGACAGGAGAATCACTTGAACCTGGGAGGCAGAAGTTGCAGTGAACTGAGATTGGGCCATTGCACTCCAGCCTGGGTGACAGAGTAAGACTCTGTCTCAAAAAAAAAAAAAAAAAAGAAAGAAAGAAAGAAAACAAACAGAAAACACAAAGCGCTAAATAGCAGATAGTGACAGAGGGGAAATTGAGTGAGGCTTTTCCGGTACAAAGTCCAGGCTTAGTCCAACTCTGTACCGGTGTCTTCCGGAATATCAGGAGATGTTCTGGCCAAATCACGATAATTTATTTTTTCTCCAATGGGGCATCTTATTCAGAGGAGAAAATCTGAAAGGCCTTTGGATTAAACAGATGTTTATGGAGCAACTTCCTAGGCATGCAGTTCTAGCAAAGGAGAGAGATGGGGTTGGTGCAACAATCGTGGGTTTACTACTGCTCTTTAATAGCTGTGAAAAAACAGATAGTAGGAGGTGACACATCTAGAGTTGAATTCAAATCCTGCTTTTTACATGGATTAACTGCTTGGCCTTGTGCAAATTCGAACTGTTCTGTGAACCTCCACTTCCTAATCTTTGAACTAATTTTAGATGTGACTATCTCATAGGGGAGCCTGAGGATTAAATGATATCATGAATAAAAGATATCTGGCATGTAGCGAATTCTTGATAAATCCCCATTTATCTCCCTCCCTTTCCTCGCCTTGGAAGTGTTTGATTTGGGTCCTTCCCAAAGCTATCATCCAAATTAAGCCAAAATACTGCATTTGCTTTAATACAAATTGTGCATGCTAGGAGAATAATAAATTAAAATAAACTAGAAAAAGGGAGTCCTAAATCCATAAGGAAACAAAAATAAGGCAGTATTTGAATGTCGAAGGAACCTCTTGGTTCTAGCTGGCAAGCCATTTCACCAGGTCTTAATAGCAAAATCTTAAAACATTAGGTAGAACCTTGAAGTTGTGCAACTTATAATTCCATTAAAAGACAAAGCTTTATTTAAAAATAAGATATAATTAATGAAGGTTTAAAATACATGCAAATAAACAGATCACGCTGTAGAAAGGTAGGCAGTGGGGGCAAATGGGAAAAAGGGGGTAATAGGACCTCAGTTCCTGTTTTTTTGTTCTTCTCTTTCTTTCTCTTAGCCCTGAGGCCAAATACTCTTGGGAAGAAATCATGGTTTCTTCTGGGCTTATTTCCTTCCTGGTAAATTTAAAAAAATTTTTTTTTAGTGACAGGGCCTTGCTCTGTTACCCAGGCTGGAGAGTAGAGAGTAACGTGATCGTGGTTCACTGACTGCAGCCTTAACACCCTTGGCTCAAGCAATCCTTCTGCCTCACCTTGCTAATAGCTGGGACTACAGGTGCCAGCCTCCACACTCAGCTAATTCTCTCATTTCCTATAGAGATGGGCTCTTGCTATATTCCCCAGGCTGGTCTCAAACTCTTGGGCTCAAGTGATCCTCTTGCCTCAGCTTCCCAAAGTGCTGAGATTACAGGCATGAGTCACTGTTCCTGGTCTGCCAAATTCTTAGTTTTAGTTCTTATAAGATTCTAAGACTTCCTTTTATATTGAAAAGATTGTTTTAAATACCGAAAAGCTGCTTCCTTCTTGAAGAACAAATTGAATGAATCAGAAATCAAATGAACCAGAGGCTTGGAGTAACTCAATGCCAGCTACTCCAGCAGTCACTTTAGAGTCTTTTTAGTTTTTTTCCTTTTTTTCCTCTTCTCTTTCTCTTCTCTGACTTTATTTCTGTTCTTATTTGTTGTTGTTGTTAGGATTGTTATTATTTGCTTTTTGTTCTCATTCTCTTCCTTTCTCTTGGAATTTATTTTTCTGTCCTCTATTTCTATTAATCTTTCCTCCTTAGTTGGCTCTAATATAGAATTGAAATGTAAGTGAAATATTTTTAAATGAATGTTTACTTCATAGTCTTTTAAAATTTTTGAAAACTTTAAAAGGAGTCCAAGAGACAGGAATATGTTATATTCTTAACTTCAATATTAGATGCATTGAACATTTTCTATTTCTCTCTCTGAAAAAGCTAAATTCATAATAATTATTTTCATTACTTTCTTGTGGTGCACTAATTTTTTTTCTCCACATATATATTTTGTCTATTCAAATATTTCTTGAGTGTCTTCTGTGTGCCAGACACTCATGTCTTTGTCTATATATAGACAAAATATATATATACAAATGTATATGTCTCATTATATATATATTCACTGATTATGTATATAATTATTATATATCATATATATTATATAATTATTATATATAAAATATATAATATATATAATTACATATCCACTGATTATATATAACATCAGTCAATATAAGTTATATATATAATCAATGAATATATATGATAAATTCAATATATATATTGAATATATTATATATATTTTATGGGTGTGTGTGTGTGTGTGTGTATATATATATATATAGAGAGAGAGAGAGAGAGAGAGAGAGATAATATATACAGAGTATATACAGTCCCATGAAATATATACATTCTATATATATATATTTTATATATATATTCACAGGAATATATACATACATATGAACATGCCCTTTTCTTAATGTGAGCTTCATCTGAACTAACCTTATTTCTTTCCCTTTCATGGGACTATAAGTATATAGTATATAAAGGGAAGGTTCTTAGAAGCTACCTGTGAATTTATGGTGTTTCTTCGTTCACTTTATATTTTCCTTATAAAAGTGAAGATGGCTTATTGCTCATAAAGGAAACAAAGTTGCTCTGAAGGGTTTTCAAATCACATATTTGAGAGAAAATATAATGTTCTGATAAAATAAGAACCAAATTAAATTAAAAATGAACATCAAAACCTGAAAACAAAGTAACTGGGATTATCTTCGTGTTTGTTACAGATACTTAACAATCCAAAGGCAAAACAGTGCTCATTGTCAAAGCTGGCAGGGCAGGCTGGCCAGGCCCTCCTCTTCAGTTTTCTACAGGAGAAACTGAAATTGAATTTCTCACATTTTCTTCTCAAGTTAGACACCATCAGACTTTCACAATCAATGGACTCTGTAATTTTTTTGCTTTCAAGCTTTGTTTTTGTTATTTCTTCTAAGCCTCTCCTGTTCTACCCTTCAAGTCTCCAACATACTTTGTTCTGGAAAAATAACTACTTATCTTTTAACACAAATCATCTTATCATTGGTACCTGAGTCTAAGATGAAATTAACCATTCAACATTATTCAAATATTTCTTGAGCATCTTCTTCTGTGTGCCAGACGCTCATCTCTGAGGACTCCTGTACCCTATGTGGACTTCTAGCACAGCATCTGCAAAGGTTTCTTATCCTTCATTGCCTAAGTCATGCCTGACCCCTCTTCCTGCTGTTGGGCAGCAAAGATCAGAGGGCAGGGTCATGACATTCATTTCTCTTAATTTCCACACAGGTCCTGATGGAAAGAAGGGGTTCAGTAAATGTTGAAGTAAATACCTAAGTTTTTCTGAGCTTGGGAAATGGAGAATAATAATTCAAAAATTTTGGATATAGACTAATGAACAGGGTAAGAAACATATAATTCAACATCAACAGAGTGAAGGGAGAGCAAGCAGTGTTCTGGGGACAGATGCACCAAGCTGTGGGACCTCAGGAATCTTCAGTGAGTTTTCAGTAACTTTGTATTGGATCAGGTCAGATTTGAAGATTGGAGATTAAATTTTTGATGAGGCATATGGCAGGAAATAACATCAGTGATCATCATCATAGCCTACCCTGTGTGTCAAGAACTGCCTCAAGTGCTTTTGGTGAATTAACTCATTTAAATAGCCCCCAAAAATTAGAGGCCCAATCACTATCCCTGAGGAACGAAGAGGTGGCTGAACTTAATCATGGCCATACAACTAGCAAGTGTAAGAGGCAGGATTTGAACCCAGGCTCCCAGGTTTGTTGTTTTAATTCTATGTGTTCCTTATTCTGCCTCAGAGTTGGTAATCGTATGTGAAGAGCTGGTATGTACAGAAATAATAATGTTCTGAAGTCTGAACAAATTCAATGGGGTTGCCTTGACTGGGTGCAGTGGCTTACATTTGTAATCTCAGCATTTTGTGAGGCCAAGGCAGGAGGATTGCTTGATGCTGGGAGTTCAATACCAGCCTGGGCAACAGAATGAAACCATATCTCTCAAAAAAAAAAAAAAAAGAAAGAAAGCCAGGCATGTGTGGCATGCACCTATAGTGCCAGGTACATGGGAGGCTGAAGTGGGAGGGTTGCTTGAGTCCAGTTCAAGGCTGCAGTGAGCTGTGATCACACTGCTGCACTCAAGCATGGGCAACAGAGCAAGACCCTGTCTCTTAAAAACAAAACGAAACAAAACAAAACCAAAAGGCAAAAAAGTGGTTGCCTTGAAAGGAAAAGATTTGCAAAGAATAGGCTAGACTGGAGTTAGTCTTATTCCTCGTGACAGACACACACACACACACACACACACACACACACACACACTATTGCATTTTCTTCTTTTAACCCTTGCTCGAAAGTCAGTCTCTCCTGTGAGTTGCAATGACAGCAACATCAGAAATGTACCAGTAGCCAACTTCATTATACTATAGTGTTGCTGACATTTTGCATTTGGAGAATTTGACTAAAGACCACTTTGGGCTTCTTACCTTAAACCATTGCTTTTTTTCTCAAAGAAGGTGATGAGAAATTAGTAGGTAAGACAGAGTCCTCACTTTCTTCACCAGGCAGGACACATGTACTGAGAGAATTGGAGCCATGATAGGGAGCAGTTTGTCTCTATGTAAAGTCTAGTGGTCTCTCCCCAGTGTCCCTTAGCCAGCCTCATACCATTGTGCTTTTCTTCCCTAGTGGAGTGGGATCCCGCAAAGGAAGGCCAGGCCCCTTTGGCCAGTGGGCCCCTGGGGCACTTGGCTGCATCACCACCAGCCGGATGGAGGGCTGGGCCTCGAGAGTGGCCTCGGGCGCATACTCCTTACTGGGATCCTTGCCTCGGCAGTCATATAGCACGCAGGAGATGAGGAAGACCAGGAGCAAGATGATGTAGCTCGCAACTAGGATGATCAGGTTCAAGGTGACAGGGTCGATCTCCAAGTAGAATTCCATCACTTCTCCCACGGTGAAGAAGCGGGTCTAGAGAAAGGCAATTGGGGTCAGTTTGGGCATTGCAGAGAGCAGATCTTAGAGCATCGGAATAGCTACATTGGCTCTGGAGTAAAAATACATTAATCCCTACTGCTCCAGGAGACCTCGGGGATTAAAGCTGCTCGGTTTAATAACTTAAGCTTGCTGTTAATACCACAGCCACCAAAACACAGAAGCTGTCTCTCATCAGTTAACCTACACAGAGAGAGAAAGAAAGAGAGAGAGATGGCTCATGAGTTACTGGATCATGGTGTGTAACTGGAGCATTCACATAATTCAGCATCCACACAGACAGTTTGGTGAGCAAAAGTAAGTGCTGTTAATAGGCATTCCAAGATAACAGCTAAAAAACTGGATTGTCCTGGACAATTGTGTTGTCTTGGTATAAGGGATGTTTAGTACCATGTATGGAGTGATTTGCATGGTCAGGTCAGTAGGCTTTGAAAGTAGATGTGATTCTTCAACAAGAAGAAGATACTAGTGCCTGATATGCTCACCCTTTCTTCATTTGTTGCTGTGTTTCTCATTAGTTAATTCAAAACTGCTTTTTGAGTCCTTACTCCCTGTGTTTCAGATACTTTACTAAGCAAAGCAGAAATGGCAGTGATAAGACAGAGAAGCAGGTAGTCTAGCAAGAAAGACAGCCTTTAAACAGATAATTGCACAACTCACCATTTAAGAACAGTGGAAATAAGTTTATAAGGGACAAATAGAGGGTAAGAGGAGAGTGTGTCCTAATGTGGGTCAAAGAAGCTCCCATGCAGAAGCGACATTTAACCTATGATCTGAAGGATAAGTAGCATTTAGCTAAGCAAGAAGAGGCAGGGATGATTCTTCTAGCGGCAAAGAACTGCGTCTATGAAGATCCGAGCGGAAAGGATCCTGGGAAATGGCAAGCACAGAAACAAGGGCAGTGTGACTGAAGCATAAAGAGAATGGGGAGGAGGAGGTGGGAGAGGCAGGCAGGAGCCAGAAGGCACAGGCACTTGTGGTCATATTCAGGACTTTAGATTTGATCCTAGAGCAATGGGATGCCATTGAATGCTTTTGCGCAGGGGAGTGACACTATTGAATTTGCATTTTGAAGAGAACCCCTTGGCTGCCTCCTGGATACAGAAAGACAAGTAAGTCGAGAGGAAGATCAGATATTGGTCAGATTGCAGTTATTCCTAGATGTATAAATCACTGTCCCTCCACAGTTGTAGCCCTTCCCCAATAGCCCTGCATAGGACTACCTCATGGGCATGTGGCCTGTGCAGCTGCACAACAGTCCGTGCTCAGAAAGACCTCACACTTGGCTTAATGCTCTGCTGTTGCCATCTTGAAATTCTTGACTTTTTAACATATATACTTTTGGGCAGATAGGGCATCAGTAGCTTTTTCTCCAATAGCTAATAGGACTTTTTGGATACTCCTAGTTAAAGGCCGAAGCTCCCAAAGGTCTGCTGGTTTCTTAGTGTTAAGCTTCAATGGGCTAGTGGTTTCTGGTCAGGCTCTTTTATATCCAGCTTCCATGGGAACTGGAGGGTTTGAAGATGTAGTATGGGGTTCTTATGCATCAAGAGACTTTTTCCAAATAGTATCTTCCATGAGTCTATGGTCCTGGACTAACTTATGTAATTATACTCCAGAAGATGCATGGTTCTGAAATACTATAGATTTAGGGTCAACCTTATTGGAATCTGTGGGGCCTCTTATCGGTACAGATACCTGGATCAAACCTAGATCTATTGAGTTAGAATCTTTGGGGCTAGAGTCTGGGGATCTGAGTTAATAAAAATCTTCATGGATAATTTTGATCTGCAACCAGGATGGAGAATCATGGCTAGAAAAGCAGAAAAAAAGGATGTGAAGAAAATGGGCCAATATGTGGTCACCAGGGCGTTGGTGATCTGTGAAGAGCTATTCCAGGGGGCATTCAACATAGAATTCAATACTGTCCAAGGTTTGAGTCCAGTAGATTCAGAGAACTAATTTTGTGCTTGCAAGGATAAAGCTTTTTCTTCCTGGAGGCAGATCTACAGGAAAAGTCCATTTATAATTGGAAAGTTTCTTGGTAAGCACAGAATCGCACAGCAAGTAGAGTTGTCTGTTGCATCTGTAAGTCACGTGCAATGCACCAGACAGAAGCAAGGCTTTAAAAGGCATTATGTACCAGATGCCTACTTTCTTTTGCCCACTCGGGACTCTAGATTCGTGACTTCTATAGTAAACTGAGTCTGGATAGCCCAGGTACCTCCATGTGACAATATTTATGGGAGTTATTTGGTGACTTTAAATAGATGACACACAGATTGGTTAAAATTGACTCTGAAATGAGAACTACACAAAGTTTTGTCCACATTAGATTAAACTGAAATATATGCAACAGATCTGCTCTATTGAGTGGAGTTTTCATATCAGGTCTGGGTTTCTCTGTGTAATGGTGATAATCCTTAATCATGGTGTGTGATCAGGTCTAGCCTCTCTTCTTAGATTGCTCCCATTCTGCTGATACCCGTGGTGTTCCAGAATGTTTTGTTCAAGGCTTTGGTTTCAGTATCTCATTACTGTTTGCAGACTGTTTTTTGTTTTTCTTTCCACTAGTGCTCAACGTTCATTTGAAGTCCAGTCTCATGAAGGCTTCCGTTCCTTGCAATGTCTTCGGTGAAATGCTGGCTGCTTGTTTTACTTAATTAACCTGGATAGCTCCTTTATTCATATCGGGGCTAACCTCACCCGTCTTTCTTTCTTTGCTGCCTTTAAGTAACTTTCCTCTTGTGCCATCTAGTGGCCAAACCAGGGGCTGCTAAATAAAGAAAAGAACTCGGCAATAGGCACACTGGGACTAATCAGCTATTACTAATCAGCATGACAGGATGACATAGGTGAAAACAGTAACAAGCTGCATTTCAGTAGAACCCCTCGAGGTAGTTTGGACATACTCATTCCTTTGTCTACCAAAAATATGAATTGTGCACTTGCCATATGCTAGCAAGGTACTAAGCACTTTGGAGATTGATTATGTGGTAAATACTGAAACCACACTGTATAACCAATGCAGAGCTCAGAGGGAAAAAGGAATTCTCAACCCCATTTTTTAAAATGAGAAAATTGAAGCTTAAAGAGACAGTGGAATTCTAATGAGCTTATTCTCATTCCCTTTCTCCCTCTCCCCCTTCCATCTCTCTTTTCTACTGCATAAAATATAAATAAAACGTCTACAGGAATACCGTATTCTATAGAGCATTCAAAACTCATTGGACAGCTATTCCATGGGTATTCAATTATTCACATATTTATTTGCAGTGTAGTCCATTTTGATGGCTGGCCTGGAATATTACTTAATAATACCAGATAAATATGTGTTCCATATAAATGCATTTTTCAGTAAGTAGAATTTATCACCTTAAACATAAACATATTTTTATATAACAACTATTCTGGATGAAAATTTATCTCTGGTATTTCAGAGTGCCTTGCTTCCTTGATAAAATACAGTATCCCAAGAGCTTAAGTGTCTTAGAGAAGTGCTAAGTTTTAACAACTTCAGCAGTAAAAATATTATAAACTTAAATTATAAAAATCATTGGGGCTTTGATTATTTCACAGTTTGAGGAAATTCAGGCACAGGGAAGAGACTTTCTTAGGTCCAAACAGATAGTAAATGACAGAACAAGACATTAAGGCAATGTGTTTGAATTCTAGCCTAGTTTTTTTTCCCCCCTGCCCTGCCACTGGAACTATTGACTATATAGGTGAAAAACAAAAGAGGGAAAGATGCTGTAGATTCTGGAAAAGTGAGAAGGGGAATAATGAATAAAACCAAATGCTAGCCATCTATATTTTCAAAAGTCCACTTAACCTTTAAATTTGTGCTAAGAGGACATAGCCCAACTGTCAGCCTACCACCCTTCTCAGCTTCCTACTTGTAATCGGGTGGATGGCTCACCTGGAGCCTCTGAAGAAATACTGCCACATTTTGTCACAATTTCAAAGTCCTTCCTTACATCTGTACTGGGTTGAATAATGCCTCCCCTCAAATTCACCAACCTGGAATCTCAGAATGTGGCCTTATTTGAAAATAGGGTCTTGATTAGTTAAGGGCAAGATTTTCCTGGAGAAGGGTGGGCCCTGAGTCCGATGACTGGTATCCTTATAAGCAGGCCGTGTGAGGGCACAGAGGCACACAGAGGAGATGCTATGGAAAGACGGAGAGGTCGGAGGGAGGCATCTTGCAAGCCGTGGAATGCTGAGGACTGTAGGCCACCACCAGAAACTGGAAGACAAGCCTGGGACAGACTCTCCCTCAGAGCTTCCAGAAGTAACTAACCCTGCTGACACATTGATTCCAGACTTCCAGTTTCCACAAGTGTGAGAGAATAAATTCCATGATTTTAAGTCATCCATTTTGTGGCGTTTTGATATAGCAGTCCTAGGAAACAAACATACCACCTATCTAATGTGTGGATAAAATCAGGTGTGGAGTGGAGCAAACCATGCGGTGTACTAAGCTCTTTTAGATCTTCTTCTATTTTATTTTGGCACTTGCCCCTTACAGACCTGAGCTTGCTTCCTGGCCCTTTCTTCTCAGGTATGGCTCCATGAAGAAAATGCATGAGATGAAAGAAAATTACTGTATGTAAAATTTACTTCTATAAAAAATAAAGACCTTCAGTTTAAAATAGCACTTGGCTGGAAGCCCCTGATGTAGCCTTTTATATCTTCCCAGTAAAATTCCTCAGAAGACACAGAAAAAAAATAAAAACCTACAAAACAATGAAAAACAATGTAGCAGGGGATAATATTTTTAAGATACTGTGGTGTTACTTCTCCCTCTCCTTCCAAGACTTATTTGAACCAATTTCTCTTCTCCTTCATCATTCCAAGATTTCTAAGGGTACTGACTCTCAGGAGAGATACAGCCTGGAAGAGTCAAGTTCATCCTTCTTGAGCTCCTTTGTAGAATTCTGTACACTTACACCAAAGTCTGTAGACTTTCAGTCAGGCATTGTGGGGAAAACAAAGGTCATTTTTAGAATTATAAAATATTGGCTTTGTATATCAAGAGGCCAAAAACATAAAGTTTATATAATAATGTAACAGGCCAAAATATAGGAAGGAGAAAGTTAGGAGTGTGAACAGTCTTCCTATTCTTTTTTTTTTTTTTTTTTTTTTTGGAGACAGAGTTTTGCTCTGTCACCCACGCTGGAGTGCAATGGCATGATCTTGGCTCACTGCAACCTCCACCTCCAGGGTTTGAGAAATTCTCCTGCCTCAGCCTCCCAAGTAGCTGGGATTACAGGTGCCTACCACCATGCCTGGCTAATTTTTTGTATTTTTAGTAGAGATGAGGTTTCACTATGTTGGCTAGGCTGGTCTTGAACTCCTGACTTCAGGTGATCTGCCCACCTTGGCCTCCCAAAATGCTGGGATTACAGGCATGAGCCACTGTGCCTGGCCAGTCTTCCTATTCTTAAGGAAGATTTGAAAAAGAAATTCCAAGGGGAGGCGACAAGAGCTTAGATGTTAGCATATCCCTAAGAAGACTCTTCTCCCCAACATTCACCATACCATCTCTTAGGAGAAAGACTATAGAATCATCTAGATGGGCACTCCAAGGCAGAAAGGCTTGGGCTTTGATTACATAGTATATCCTTGGAAGACTGCCAAGTTCCTCAAGAAGTCTCATGCCCTATATAACACTTAGTGGCAATATGCTGGAATAGCAGAGAACAATGTCTGAGAAAGGTAGCTAACTAGACAAACCAGGGCTACCTTACTATTGAAGGCATATGAAGATGGTGCAGGAAAAACAATGAAGAGTTTCTAAGACTCTGAAATAGGATTGAGATGCAAAAGGTGAGAGATGGGTCTTGCACGGTGGGCCACGCCTATAATCCCAGCACTTCGGGAGGCCAAGGTGGGTGGATCACCTGAGCTCAGGAGTTCAAGACCAGCCTGGCCAACATGGTGAAACTCCATCTCTACTAAAAATACAAAAATTATCCATGCATAGTGGTGCACGCCTATAGTCCCAGCTGAGGGAGTCCCAGTTCAGGAGGCTGAGGCAAGAGAATCATCTGAACCTGGGAGGTGGAGGTTACAGTGAGCCAAAATCACACTACTGCACTCCAACATGGGTGACAGAGTGAGACTCTGTCTCAAAAACAACAACAACAAATTGAGAGATGCCTGATTGAAAAGACTCCATGGCTCTTATTACCAAGGACACAGAGTGAACAACTCGGGTATATGGAGGTATCATTTAGTGATGTGGATGACTGAGGGAACATAAATTTGGGAGGTGAATCAAGAGTTATCCTTAAGATTAAATATGAGATGCTGAGAAGACAGTTGGATATTTGAGTCTGGATCTTGGTGGAAAAGTCAGTGTTGCAAATACAGATTTTGGAGTTATCAAGATATAGGTAGTATTTACAGTCATGGAACTGAATGAGATGACATTAAGAGAAGATGTACATTGGGAAGAGAAGAGGGATAAAGACAGGGCCTAGAGTATCCCAACATCTAGATGTTAAACAGAGAAGAAGAAATCAACAAATAATAAAGAGAAGTGAGCAGAGAGATAAGAGGAAAACCAGAAGAACATAGTGCCATGGAAATCCAGGGAGAAGTGTGTGTCTTAGTCCATTTTGAGCTGCTGTGACAGAATACTTGAGACTGGGTAACTTTTCTCACAGTTCTGGAAAATGGGAAGTCCAAGACTGAGGGGCCGGCATCTGGTGAGGGCCTTGTTGCTGTGTCATCCTGTGGTAGAAGGTGGAAGGGCAAGAGAGAGCATGAGAGCAGGGCGGGCAAGGTAAAGAGGGCTGGATTCGTCCTTTCATCAAGAATCTACTCTCTTGATAACTAACCCATTCCCACAATAAAAGCACTAATCCACTCATAAAGACAGAGCCCTCATGGCCAAATTGCCTCTTAAATGTTCCACTTATTGACACTGTTGAATTGGGGATTAAGTTACCGACACATGAACTTTGGGGGACATGATTTAAACTATAGCACAGGGTTCAACAAAGGAAGTGACCAACTAGGTTGAAAGCTGCCGAGCGATCGATCAAGTAACATGAGAATAGACAATTGACTGTTAGCACTGAGATTTTGCTAAAAACAGAAGGGTATTTTTATAGAGAGGGTGGGATGAGAAAGAAAACCCCTAAAAATAGGTGGAGAAAAGAAGGTAAAAAAGTAGACCATGAGTAAAAATAATTTTGAGGAGTTTGGTTGTGAAATATTGAAGAGAAATGAGACATAGCTGGAAAGCAGTATGGTAGTGAAACAAAGTTGTTTTGTTTTTGTTCTAGGTGAGTAATATTAAAGCATCATGTAAGCCCATGGGCTGTGAGTTGGGAAAGGGCAATTGACAATATAAGATGGAAAAGAAAAAGTTGTATGAGAGAGAAAAAGATAATATGAGAGAGAAAAGAATAATATGAGAGATAAAAGGGAAATTTCCTTGAACAGAGATGAAATCCAGAGGAAACATGGAAAGCTGGGTCCCAACTCAAGGTAGGGACAATGCTTCCACTTGTCAAGAGAGAGAAAAATAAGTAGGTTTAGAATAGATTTGTTGGTGAGAATATGAGGTTTGTTTCATCTGGTATTTGAGTTTTGTTTCTTGTTTTGTTTTGTTTTTTCCTTACCCAGGAATGAGCTAAGATCATTAGCAGATTTTGAGTGGGGGAAATGTACTATGTATTTTAAAAGAGGAGAACTTTTGAAATAGTTATTTTGGCAAAAAAGAAGACAAATATCCCAGAGAAGGAGGTTAGGAGTGCTGGGCAGTGTTGAACTCCCCTTTGACATGGGCTGTCATGAATTTAAAATGAGATACTCGTTCAAGGTAGGCAGATAGTTTGGTCAAGCAGACTGGAGGTTAGTCAGTGAACAAAACAGAAGGTTGGGGCAAGAGGGTGTTAGGAAGGAACTAGTTCTGATACTGCACAAAAACCTGTACACTGGGTAAGAAGGGATATGAGGGCATGTGGTGTGTGGGTGGAATGTGGCAGGAAATTGTGATAAATGGTGGGGTAAGTGCAATGGTGGTCCCTGTGTGTTTAAAAGAGAGGTGGAGCACAGAAGGAGAGTTGGCACACTGGGAGGACTGGCAGTAGTGTTTCAAGAGGGGGTATGACTGGAATCGAGGTTCTGAAATTATTTGCAATGACAAGATGTAGGGAAGACCATGAGAAGGTATAGCAGAAGGGCAGGGAAAGGGCATATCTTTGGAGTTGAGATAATAAAAAATCTGCAGGGGGCAGAGGATTGCTGAAATTGTCTGGAAGGACAAAAGTGTAAGAGGGGAGAGAATGAGGTGAGCTGAGTGTTCAAGTCCTTGGTAAGAGAATGGTGGTCAGGAGGTTGCTAGATGATTGTGAAAAGAAGAGGCATTTGGTGAGTAAGTCTGGCAACGTGTCCTTCACTAATGTGTGCACACCACACCAACCCAGGATTTTGATGGAGAAAGATGAAAAAATGTTTAGGAGCAGCTGTTCAGGGTTGTAAATCACCTACTTAAATTGTAGGTTCTGAAGTATGTGGTTATATTAATTTTTGTGGTCGCTCTAACAAACTTCGTGGCTTAAAACAACAGCAATTTATTCTCTGGTGATTCTAGAGGCCAGGAGTCTGAAATCAGTGCTACTGGGGCAAAAACAAGGCGTTGGTGAGACCGTACTTCCTTCAGGGGATCAAGAGGGAGAATTTCTGTTCCTTGCTGTTTTCACCTTCTGATGGCTACTGGTATTGTCGTCGTATCACTCCGGTCTTCACAGCCAACATCTTCAAATCTCTCTCTGTTCTGTCTTCATATTGCCTTCTCCTCTGTGTGTGTGAAATCTCTGTTTGTTTCCCTGTTATAGGGACACATGTGATGGCATTTTGAGCCCACCAAGAAAATCTAGTAGAATCTCCTCATCTCAAGATCACATCTGCAAAATCTGCTATATAAAGTAACATTGACGGGTTCCAGGAGATAGGATGTAGTTATTTTTCTTCCATTTCCCATGCAGTAGGCTGAAAGATGGGAAGGCCATTTTTTCAGCCTTCTGCATGGGATATGGAAGAAAAATCAGCTTCCATTTGATATGGCTGGTGTAGGAGCAGTGTCCTCAGGGATGGTCAGTTTTCAATAAAGTTAATTCTAGCCCATTAGTTCTCTGTTATTGGATGAGGAGACTACTTTCCAAGACCACCAGTGGCTGCCTGAAAGTATGGATAATATATTTGTATGTTTTATCACCAATTTCTTTTTTATCCTTCACAATTTCCTGGATAGAAAATTCATCCTAACCATAAATTTTAACGACCTGGAGCATACAACTTTTTTTTCTTATTAAATAGAGAACTTCACACTTTCACTTAAAGGAAGCACTTTATGGCTTCTGTTTGGCATATCCAAATTTCCAGCATCACTACTCTTGAGCTTTGGGGCTATTACTCAGTAAAATAAGGGTAACTTGAACACAAGCACAGTGATAAAGCAACAGTCAGTCTGAAAACTGTGGTGGTCACTGAGTGACTAATGGGCAGGCAGCATGTACAGCGCGGATACAGTGGACAAAGGGATAGTTCAGGTTCCAGGTGGGATGGAGTGGGACAGTGTGAGGTTGCATCAGATTGCTCAGAACAGCACACAATTGAAAACTTATGAATAGTTTATTTCTGGAATTTTCCACTCAATATTTTCAGACTGTGGTTGGTAACGGTTCACTGAAGCTGTGGAAAGTGAGAACAAAACTCCATCTCAAAAAAAAAATTATCTTGAGCTCACATCTCAGAATGTATGAAAGAAAATCAAGGAAGAAAAAGATGAGTAGAGCTAGGCTAACTTCTTTATCTTAAACAAGAAAAACAAAAATGACACCAGTTCGTCTTAACTTCAGTTAGACGAACAGAGAGAAGAGTTTTGTAGCTTGCTTTTGAAACTATTGACAAGAACCCTTACAAAAAATAATCGTACCATGCTAGCTACCCTGTTTTAGGTATAACAAATGTGATCACTTCCCTGGTCTGCTTTCCTTTCTGCTGCTCTTGTTCCCTTTTCTGGTTAGAAATGTTTCACACCCATGATGACATTCTGTATTTCCTTATCTGAATATCATACCATCTGGAGGCATTCTGCATTCCTTTTGGCTTTGGACTTTTTATAACCTGTGATTAGGGTATAGATGAATAAAGATGTCTACTTTATCTTTCTCTGGTTTCCTATGTAGGATTTATATAATGTTAATGTTCATTTATTTGATGTGTAGATTGGACTTGGGAGGACATGCATAGATTTTAGATGTATACTTGGCTCCAAGATGTAGAGAATGCTCAGATGCAACTGAAACTTTGACAGTGTTAATTGTCAGGATGCGGAAAGCAACCCAGAGAGGGAGGTATGAGCACCATATGGGATAGCAGAAAATCTTGGGGGCTCTACATTTAAAATATATTGGGAATGCAAACTTCTCTTACCATCTTCACTGCTTTGACTTTTTTTTTTGTCAACCCACTGTTACCTTCTGACTAGCATACCTGCTTAGATTTCCCCACTGCCCCTCACCTAGTCTATTTTCAACATGACAACCCGAGCTAGCCTTTTAACACACGTCAAGCCATGTTAATCCTTTGCTCAAAATCTTCTAATGACTCCCCACTTCACTCCATCAAAAGTCAGCATTCTTACAAGGGCAGTAAGGCACTGTATTAGCTGGCTGACCTACCTCTGTCCTCTCATTTCCAAGTACTTTCTCCCTCTCCTGTTCTACTCTAGTCACTTTGGTGTTTTTTGGATACTCCAAGCCACTCCCATTTCAGAATTGTAATACTTGCTGTTTTGTCTACATGAGATGTTCTTTCTCCAATTATCTGCATAGCTGATTCTCTGCTTCCTTCAGATTATTGCTCAAATATGACTTTTACGGCTTTCCATGACCACCCCTTATAAAAGAAAATCCCTCCTGTATTAGTCGTTTTCACACTGCTGGTAAAGACACACCTGAGACTGGGTAGCTTATAAAGGAAAGAGGTTTAATGGACTCACAGTTCCACATGGCTGGGGACGCCTGTCAATCATGGCAGAAGGTAAATGGGGAGCAATGTCATGTCTTACACAGTGGCAGGCAAGAGAGGTTGTGTAGGGGAACTCCCATTTATAAAACCATCAGATCTCATGAGACTTATTCACTACCATGAAAACAGTATGGGGCAAACTGCCCCTGTGATTCAATTATCTCCACCTGGCCCCACCCTTCACATGTGGGGATTATTACAATTCAAGGTGAGATTTGGGTGGGGACACGGCCAAGCCATATGACCTCCCTCCCCAGGCCACTCCTTTTCTCCTTTATTCTGCTTGATTATTTTCTACAGCACTCATCCACATCTGATATACTCTTAGTGTTGTCATGTATTTTGTTTGTGGTATGACTCTCCCCACTAGAAAGTAAGCTCCATGAGGGCAGGGAGTTTGTTTTATTCATTGTATCCCTGTACAGTGGCCCAGAGCATGGCAGGCACATTGTAAGCATTGAATATATATTTGGAGAATGAATGGATGAATAAGCCATTCATAAATATAACTCTTCCAATATTAGGAGATAATTATGATAAAAAATAGATTTGACAGGGGATCAAATAAATATTATCATGAGGAAAGAGGTCTTAGTCTCATGCTCTGGGCTGAATTGTGTCATCCAGAATTCATATGTTGAATCCCTAACCCCTGGTACCTCAGAATGTGACTGTATTTGGAGATAGGGCCTTTTAAGAGGTGATTAAGTTTACATGAGGCCATTAGGGTGTCCTTTGAAGAAGAGGAAATCAGACCACACTGGGAGGCAGAGGGGATGTGCATGCATGGCAAGAAGACAATGTGGGGACACAGCAAGAAAGCAGCAGTAGACAAGCCAAGGAGAGAGGCATCAGAAGAAACCAGACCTGAAGACATCTTGATCTTGGACTTCTCAGAGCCTCTAGAACTGTGAAGAAATAGGTTTCTGCTGTTTAGACCGCCTAACATTCAGTATTTGGTTATGGCAGCCTTGGCTGACTAATACGTCAAGCTTCAGGGAAAAGTAATATTTTGAGTTGGGCTGTCAAAATGCCTAGATCTATTTATATAAAGCCAAATGGAAAACATAAGCTCATTAAAACTTTCTTTTTTCAGAAAATTTGTTTCAAGTTTTGAGGAAAACATATTAATATCTAATCTCCAAATAAAGTTTTACTTTCCCCCCTTTTTTTTGAACTTTTATTTTAGGTTCAGGGGTACATGTGCAGGTTTTTTACATAGGTAAACTCATGTTACAGGGGTTTGCTGTACAGATTATTTTGTCACCCAGGTACTAACACTAGTACCTAACAGTTGTTTTTCTCTGATCCTCTCCCTCCTCCCACCCTCCACCCTCAAGTAGGCTTTAGTGTCTGTTGTTGCCCTTTGTGTTCATAAATTCTCATCATTCAGCACCCACTTATAAGTGAGAACATGCAATATTGGTGTTCTGCTCCTGTATTAGTTTGTTAAGGATATTGACCTCCAGCCCCATCCATGTTCCTGCAAAGGATATGATCTCATTCTTTTTTAGGCCTATGCAGTATTCTGTGGTGTATATGTACCACATTTTCTTTATGGAATCTGTCATTGATGGATGTTTAGGGTGATTCCAAGTTTTTGCTATTTTGAATAATGCTGCAATGATCATACACATGCATGTGTCTTTATCGTAGAATGATTTTTATTCCTTTCGTTATATACCCAGTAATGAGATTGCTGGGTTGAATGGTATTTCTGTTTTTAGCTCTTTGTGGAATCATCACACTGCTTTCCACAATAGGTAAACTAATTTACACTCCCACCAACAGTGTATAAGCATTCCTTTTTCTCTGCAACCTGGCCAGCATCTGCTATTTTTTGACTTTAATATAGTAGCCATTCTGAATGGTGTGAGATGGTATTTCATTGTGGTTTCAAATTACATTTCTCTAGCTCACTAAAAGTTTCTAAGGGTCCAGTGGTTTCAGGAAGTCTGTTATTACTAAGAGAAAATGGTGTTCTATTACTAGTAACACTTGAATAAAGCTGGAGGAAAAGGTGCCCTATTACTAGTAGCAATTGTATAAAGCTAGGATTGACTTCAATCCTAAGAGGCAGACTAATATTACATTGCCATTATCACAATTAACATGCACTGAGAGTTCACCATGTGCTAGGTTCTCTTCTAACTGCCTTACATGCACTGAGCCATCTAATCCTCCTAGCAACTCTATGGAAGTTTACCACCCCATTTTACAGATGAGAACACTGAGGTACAGAGAGGTTGAGGAAGTTGCCCAAGGTTGTACGTTTTTATGTAGCAGAGCCATGGAGGGCATCTAGGCAGTGGTGCTGGAGCCTGCACCGGTAACTTCTATAATGTACCTTCTTTTATAATTGTTCCCCTGTCTACAGAAGGCTTTTTTTCCTTCACATTTAGATGTGCTAGTTCTTAGCCTTCTGTTAGCACCAACCTACTTTTCAGCTTTATTTTTCATTACTCACATATATTTAGAAAAACTGTGTCATCCCTTGTCTTTCTGCTTTTGCTTAACTTTCCTTGCCATTACCGTGCCTCGTCGATTGATTAACTGATTGATTGATTGCTGTTCTAGTTTCTTATGCCTTCTTCATTCATCCTTACCTAAAATCTACTCTTCAATACCAAGTCCAAATCCTACCTTCCCCATAAAAGTTTACATTACTCTTCTTTGAAAATTTCATTGTATGCACAACTAATTTAGAATTCATAATGTACTTCCCTATTAGATATTCTTTTGATGACTCAATATTCTATACAAATCTTCCTAAAACTTAACTTTTCACCAGTTTTGTGTTAACTTTTCACCAGTTTTGTGTTAACTTTTCACCAGTTTTGTGTTTTGTCTTCAAAATAGATTTAATCCACTGAGGATTGGGATAAAATATCTACTATATATGATACTTTGAACATAATGAAAGTGAAATAGAAATTTATTTATTTATTTAAGACAGGGTTTTACTCTGTCACCCAGGCTGGCGTGCAGTGGCGTGATCTCGGCTCACTGCAACCTCTGCCTCCTGGGCTCAAGCGATTCTCCTACCTCAGCCTCTGGAGTAGATGGGATTACAGGCATGCACCACCATGTCTGGCTAATTTTTGTATTTTTAGTAGAGGCGAGGTTTCACCATGTTGGCTAGACTGGTCTCAAACTCCTGAGTTCAAGAAATCTGCCTGCTTCGACCCCAAAAAGTGCTGGAATCACAGGCATGAGCCACCACACCAAATACAGAGGTGTAATTGATTTGTTTTGATTTGGGAAAACAAACAAACAAAAACAAAAAAACAGTGGAGACAGAGGAAGGAAACAAATGTGGCCAGCAAGCCCATTCTAATTTATAGCTAGCGCCATTCTGAATCCATTCAATATATTAGCTCCTTTAATCTTTCCAACGTTTCTGTAAGAGAAATACTATTATTTTTATTTACTTTTGTTATTATTTGAGATGGAGTCTCACTCTGTCCTCCAGGCTGAAGTGCAATGATGAGATCTTGGCTCACTGCACCCTCCCTCTCCCGAATTTCAAGTGATCCTTGAACTCCTGAGCTCAGGTGATCTACCCGTCTCAGCATCCAAAAGTGTTGGGATTACAGTGGCTCACACCTGCAATAATAGAAATCGTAGAAATACTACTTATACTTTTTCTACTATTTAGTAAAACTATTTAGTACAAATAGTAATAGTAGAAATACTGTTATTATCCCCGTTTTATAGATGAGGGGAAATGAAGCCTACAGGTACTATGCAGTTTGTCCGCAGTAAAACAGGGCAGGGAGCTGCAGTGCGCCTTCTTGCCGGCAGAGGGCATTAAGAGACCACGACCAGATGTAAGTCTAAGATTTATGGTCCAATTTTCCTTCCCATCAGGAGCAGGAAATGGACAATAATGGCTTTTGGATGATCATGGAGTTTTCTCATTTTCCACTTCTTTATATCACCAGTGACATTCTTTGGGCAACAACTGAAAAATAAGCTAACTTTTTCCCACATGACCACACAGTTTGCCTGTGGCTCCTTTCTCTCCCTTCCCTACACTTAGTCTCCTTCCCCACTTCCAGGAACTGTTTAATGCATTTGCTGGAAGTTATCTGTGGGGAATTTCCAAATCCCAGGATACCACCAAGCCTCGGGGCTCAACGGTGGCTCTACGCTCCTCTGCTGTTGGCCCTCAGCACTCTTAAAGATCATTTTGTTACTGCAAGCCTGAAAAATGAAATCACTTCGGTAGAAAATATCCTCCCAATTCCGCAATGCATTCAAAAAGTGTCTTTTGGATGATCTTTTGTTTGGCAGATCTGTAGTTTAAAATGGTGGTGGGGGTGTTTTGTAGGAACGGAATGTGATTCTGCTGTATGTACTCACGTTATTGACCATCTTCAAAAAGGATTTTTACTGCTAGAATGTGAGAAAAAGAGAAAGGAAAAGTTATTTGGACCAATTATCTCTGGCTGCCATGGAACATTCAGAGATGAAAGCTGCCACAGCCAGAAACAATATTTCTCTCCGGGTGGGGATTCTCTGGTTTCTCCAGAGTCCTAAACTTCTGAGAATATGGACTAAGTACCAAGAATTTTAAATTTAGCCAAGATCCCGTGAGCCATAGCTCCTAGAAGTCAGGGTACATCAGAGAAAGGAGGGACTAAGACCATTTGGCGCAATCCACTGATTTTATGGACAGGTCACAAGGACTGTGGGATCCAGTTTTTCTCAGTGTAAGGCTCTTTCCCTCACGTCTACTCTTATTGTCAACTGAAGTGACCTGTCTGGGAAATTGTGTTTTCTTTATAGATTTGCATGAGGGTGACACCATAGGCAATTTGAAATATCTTTTTCCTTCTTGGAGAGAAATGCCGAATGTGCACGCTTACCAAGAGAGGGCACCCTCTGAGCAGGAATTTTCTCTTGCAATCCATTTCACAGAAAAAATAGGCTGCCACTCAACAGACCATGGGAGAAAGGAATGGTCAACTTAGGTTTGACCTCAGAAAGCATTAAACTTAGTAGGGGTGGCAGAAACCAGGGTCTGCTTACTTAGCCCCAGAAGACTAATACCTCCCCTTTTTCTGCACCTGCATGCAGCTCCATGTGTGTGTTCATGCTGGCCTTTTCCTGAAATGCCTTTCCCTTTCCTCCTCTTCTGGAAAACTCCTAGTCACCGGTGAGAGTCCTAGGTTGCACCCTTCACTTTTCAGCCTTCTCTCCTCTATATTCCAGAACTTTTCACATGCCAGGAGTAGAGCACATATTACCCATTATTTTGCACTATGAAGCCCTTAAAAATCTAGATTGTGTTATCTCATTGTTCTCCGACTGCCTAGCCTCACGTGAGGCATGATAATAAATGCCTGATAAGTGCTTGTTGCATATGTGAACACATAAATCAATACCATTACTCATAGTTATTTACTAACCTGGATAACATCACAGGTGGGTGCTATTATTCAAGGAAGCCCCCCTTTTTTTTTCAATTTTATTTTTTATATATTTTTAAAGACAGGGACTTGCTCTGTCACCCAGGCCTGAGTGCAGTGGTGCAATTATAACTCACTGCAGCTTCAAACTTCTGGTCTCCAGTGATCCTCCAGCCTGAGCCTCCTGAGTTGCTTGAATTATAGGTGACACCACCAAGCACAGCTATTCAAGGAAGTCTTTTTCCCCTTCCCTCCTTCCTTCCTTCCTTCTTTCTTTCTTTCTTTCTTTCTTTCT